GAAGTTCTAACACAGGCATGGGCAGGTTAACTGCATTTCATCGCATAATAGTCGCAATCCCTATTTTTCAGGTTCAAAACCGGTATTTCTGTGTTCCTCGCATAAAAGCTGCAGAGAGGTTTGGGATTAATTCCTTCCTTCCTTTCTCTTTAAAGTAAATTCTGAAGTTCTAACACAGGCATGGGCAGGTTAACTGCATTTCATCACATAATAGTCGCAACCCCTATTTTTCAGGTTCAAAACCGGTATTTCTGTGTTCCTCGCATAAAAGCTGCAGAGAGGTTTGGGATTGAGTCCTTCCTTCCTTTCTTGGAACCATTGGCAATCATCTTGGAGAGTTCTTGGAGAACGGGAGAAGTCCCAGCAGACTGGAGGAGGGCCAATGTGGTCCCAATCTTCAAGAAGGGGAAAAAGGATGACCCAAACAATGACCCATGTCCGGTCAGCCTCACGTCGATACCAGGCAAGATGTCAAGGAAGCGGTCTGCAAACACTTGAAACACTTAGAAACAAAGGCGGTCATCACTAAGAGTCAATAATTCAAGAGAGATATTGACTCTAAGCTGGAATGTGTCCAGAGGAGGGCAACTAAAATGATCAAAGGTCTGGAGAACAAGCCCTATGAGGAGCGGCTTAAGGAGCTGGGCATGTTTAGCCTGAAGAAGAGAAGGATGAGAGGAGATATGAGAGCCATGTATAAATATGTGAGAGGAAACCACAGGGAGGAGGGAGCAGATCAAGGGTCTGGAGAACAAGCCCTATGAGGCGCGGCTTAAGGAGCTGGGCATGTTTAGCCTGAAGAAGAGAAGGCTGAGAGGAGACATGATGAGAGCCATGGATAAATATGTGAGAGGAAGCCACAGGGAGGAGGGACTAAAATGATCAAGGGTCTGGAGAACAACCCTATGAGGAGCGGCTTAAGGAGCTGGGCATGTTTAGCCTGAAGAAGAGAAGGCTGAGAGGAGATATGATAGCCATGTATAAATATGTGAGAGGAAGCCACAGGGAGGAGGGAGCAGATCAAGGGTCTGGAGAACAAGCCCTATGAGGAGCGGCTTAAGGAGCTGGGCATGTTTAGCCTGAAGAAGAGAAGGCTGAGAGGAGATATGATGATAGCCATGTATAAATATGTGAGAGGGAGCCACAGGGAGGAGGGAGCAGATCAAGGGTCTGGAGAACAAGCCCTATGAGGAGCGGCTTAAGGAGCTGGGCATGTTTAGCCTGAAGAAGAGAAGGATGAGAGGAGATATGATAGCCACGTATAAATATGTGAGAGGAAGCCACAGGGAGGAGGGAGCAAGCTTGTTTTCTGCTTCCTTGGAGACTAGGACACGGAACAATGGCTTCAAACTACAAGAGAGGAGATTCCACCTGAACATGAGGAAGAACTTCCTGACTGTGAGAGCTGTTCAGCAGTGGAACTCTCTGCCCTGGAGTGTGGTGGAGGCTCCTTCTTTGGAAGCTTTTGAAACAGAGGCTGGATGGCCATCTGTCAGGGGTGCTTTGAATGCAATATTCCTGCTTCTTGGCAGAATGGGGTTGGACTGGATGATGGCCCAGGAGGTCTCTTCCAACTCTTGGATTCTAGGATATCAAACCCTTATTTTCCCTCCGTGTCTGTAGCCAAATTGCAAACTTTGGGATTTTGAGTATTTAAATATATTTAAAGTATTGAACAACTGAGACTCGTGCGCCAACTGCGACCGTACCTCGGGATCTGGCCAGGGTGGTCCATGCCTTAGTCACCTCCAGATTGGACTACTGTAATGCGCTCTACTTGGGGCTGCCCTTGAAAACGGCCCGGAAATTTCAACTGGTCCAATGGGCAGTGGCCAGGATGTTAACTGGCGCTCCTTACAGAGAGAGGTCATCCCTCCTGTTCAAGAAGCTCCGTTGGCTGCCGTTCATTTTCCGGTCCCAATTCAAGGTGCAGGTGCTTACCTACAAAGCCCTGAATGGTTTGGGACCCACCTAACTGCGTGACCGCATCTCTGTATACGAACACACACGATTTCTTCGTTCATCTGGAGAGGCCCTGTTCACGATCCCACCTGTATCGCAAGCACAATTGGTGGGGACGAGGGACGAGGGTCAGGGCCTTCTTGGTGGTGGCCCCTCAACTCTGGAACTCTCTCCCGCTGGAGATCAGAACTGCCCCCTCCATTCTGTCGTTCAGAAAACAGGTGAAAACATGGCTATGGGGTTTGGCTTTCGACGAGTGAATCAATATTTCTGTGATCGGATAGATGACGATGAATGACGGACAACGAATTCACGATGACTGACCATGGTTATGATGGGATTGCATTTTGCTGTTATAATGTTTTCATTGAATATGTTATATGATGTTTTTAATGATTGTTTTGTGATTTTATTGTTGGAAAGCGGCCCGAGTCCCCCGATAGAGGGGAGAAGAAGACTGGGATACAAAATAAATAAATAAATAGGTAATTTTCAACGATAAGCAAACAGTATTCTCCCCCCTCCTCAACCAATCACTGATATATATTTTCTGTTCGTCATGGGAGTTCAGTGTGCCATATTTGGTTCATTTCCATCATTGGTAGAGTTCAGAATGCTCTTTGATTGCAGGTGAACTATACATCCCAGTAACTACAACTCTATTTTCCCCCAAGAGTGCCTCAAGAGTGCCCCCTTGTCAAAATTAACTCTACCGCGACGGCTTACTTTGCGTAAGGGGTTGACCGCCCCTGCCAACCAATCACTGATCTATATTTTCTGTTCATCGTGGGAGTTCTGTGTGCCATATTTGGTTCTGTTCATCGTGGGAGTTCAGTGTGCCATATTTGGTTCATTTCCATCATTGGTGGAGTTCAGAATGCTCTTTGATTGTAGGTGAACTATACATCCCAGTAACTACAACTCTATTTTCCCCCAAGAGTGCCTCAAGAGTGCCCCCTTGTCAAAATTAACTCTACCGCGACGGCTTACTTTGCGTATGGGGTTGACCGCCCCTGATGGAGAGAGTCATCCATTGGGGACATATGGCGGAGGAGTTAAGCAATGCCATTCTGTTGCATTCTGTGCGGAAGAGGAGGAGGGATCGCTCTGGGCAATGAGAGAGAGAGAGAGAAGGGAACGGGGGGGGGGGTCCCTTTGTCCTGTTTGGGGGCAAAGGTGATGAATGGGGCCGGGAAGGAGAAGGAGGAGGACAGATGGCCGGGCCCTTTCCCTCTCTCCCCTCTCCTCTCTTCTCTCTCATTCTTGCATCTGGAATTCCAACCCCCCCCCCACCCCCCAATTTATTGATGACAGCTTGGTGCAATTACCTCTCGCGCTCTCTCTCTCTCTCTACACAAGGCAGATTTATGCCCCGTCTTCCTTTTCTTCTTCTTAAAAGGAAAACACAATGCCTGCTGCTGGGATTGGGGATGGCTCCCTCCGCCTGGGACTTTGATCTGCTTCGGCTCCTCCAGACCCCGATCCAACCCCAATTCTTCATGGCTCCCCAAAATCACTGCAATTCCTAGAATTAGTATGTGCCATCCCCAGCGAACCTAAAATGGCCGGCTTGATGTCAACGTAGCTTTTCAATTGGGAACTATCTCAATATTCAAATGCCAAAATGTTTTAGAGAGGTATTCCCTCGAGCTAGCTTGACACAGTGGTCAGATACAAGAGGTTTAACAGCATCCCTTATCATGAACGGTCAGAGTTGGCCACAGTAAAATTCAGCAGTCAGAAATATCCATGAACTAGATCAAAAACCGAAAGCAACACTGTAAAATCCTGGAACCTGTTAGCAATCCACTAACCCCGTGTTTCTCCACCTTCCTAACACCGTGACCCCTTAATACAGTTCCTCATGTTGTGGTGACCCCCAACCATAACCCTTACATTGTGAATCACCGTGTAAATAATGATTTGCAGGATATATTTTCATTCACTGGAGCAAATTTGGCACAAATACCCGGTATGCCCAGATTTGAATACTGGTGGGGTTGGCGGGGGAATTGATTTTGTCATTTGGGAGTTGTAGTTGCTGGGATTTATAGTTAACATGTAAACAAAGAGCATTCTGAACCCCACCAATGATGGATTTGAACCAAAGTTGGCACAGAGAACTCCCATGATCAACAGAAAATACTGGGAAGGTTTGGTGGGCATTGCTCTTGAGTTTTGGAGTTGTAGTTCACCTACATCCAGAAAGCACTGTGGGCTCAAACAATGATGAAGCTGGAACAAACTTGGCATAAGCACTCAATACGCCCAAATATGAACACAGATGGAGTTTGGGGGGAAAAAACATTGACATTTAGGAGTTGTAGGTGCTGGAATTTATAGTTTACCTACAATCAAAAACCATTCTGAACTCCACCAATGATGGAATTGAACCAAACTTGGCACACAGAACTCCCGTGACCAACAGAAAGTACTGGAAGGGTTTTGGTGGGCATTGACCTTGAGTTTGGGAGTTGTAGTTCGCCTACATCCAGAGAGCACTGTGGGCTCAAACAATGATGGATCTGGACCAAACTTGGGACGGATACTCAATATGCCCAAATGTGAACCCTGATGGGGTTTTGGGGAAATAGACTTTGACATTTGGGAGTTGTAGATACTGGGATTTATAGTTCACGTACAATCAAGGAGCGTTCTGAACCCCACCAAGGATTGAATTGGGCCAAACTTCCCACACAACCCCCATGACCAACAGAAAATACTGTGTTTTCTGATGGTCTTTGGAGACCCTCTCTGACACCCCCTCGTGACCCCCTCAGGGGTCTTGACCCCCAAGTTGAGAAACACTGCTCTAGTTAATTTTCAATGGTAAGCAAACAGTATTTTGGTGACCCCCCCCCCAACCAATCACTGATATATATTTTCTGTTCATCGTGGGAGTTCGTATATAGATGATGATTATAACTTTTCATGATGCGTTCCTTTTTATCCGTGACTTGTTGTTGTTGTTGTTGTGTGTATATATATGCGCCCGTGTTGTGATTTTGATGATGTGTGCCTTCTCTTCCTCTGTCCAGCCATGCCGGCCTTTGAGCTGCAGCCGCTTCCGGCCACCGTTCCCGAGGGCGGTGTGGCCCGCTTTGCCTGCAAGGTCTCCTCCGTCCCTCCGGCCGTCATCACCTGGGAGCACAACCGCACCGCACTCCCCATCGCCCTGGACAGGTGCGTTGCCTCTTCCATTCTGTGCGTCCCATTGTGTTCTGTCGTGCACTGGGACTGTAAAGAATTTCCTTTCGAACAGGACGTGCAACCTTTGCCCAGCGGGAAGCCAGGGGGCCCAAGGAGAAGTTCTCAGAGTTTTTCCACCACAAATAGTCTTTAGATGGCTGGTGAAGTACAACAAAATCAAACAGAAACTTCTCTTGTCTTCAGAAAGTTAAACAAATGATTCCAGGCTTTTATGCAACTGGTGAATTCCTAATCTTGCCCACGAAGGACAGGCAACTGTCTTCAATAACTTCTTCTTTACTTTAAAGGAAAATCCCCTTTTTAACTTCTCCCAGGCTGACTGTAATCTAACCCTTCCTGATGTGGGCTCCGCTACCGGGTCAAACTGCGTCTCGAACGCTTAGTGGACCTACCAGTAAAGGCTTAGATGTTCTCCAGCTGGAGTTCTTTGGTCTTTAGGGCTGTTTCCCTGGAAATCTTTGGAGACTCTTAAGACTGTTCTCCCCCGGAAAGTCTTAAGGGTTGAAACTTTTGTAACACATCCTGTACATTAGTTTTCCTGGCTGAGACTAACTAAAAATGGCTTCCTTCCCTTCCCAATTGCCCTGAGCAAGGGGTGGGACCAAAACTTAATGATGATTGGCAGGTGGCTTGCCCTATGACTGCAACCAAAAGAAGCCACCTTCCTGCAGAAACGCAGAAACCTAGGACTGCAAAGCAAATAAATTTGGAGCTCCTGGTACGGCCGTACCAGCACACATTGTCTCAGAAGGCCGTTTGGATGTTCAGTTCATGGAAGAAGGGGAGGGAAAGAAGCCTAGCGTTGGAAGGGACCCCCCGAGGCCATCCAGCCACAATGGAGGAGGACAGGGCTTTGATCATGGATCAAAGTCCACCCCCGCCCCAGATAGCCACCCAGCCTCTGCTTCAAAGCCTCCAAGGAAGGAGCTTCCATCACACTCTGTCGCAGAGAGTTCCACTGCTGAACAGCTCTCCTTACAGTGAGGACGTTCTTCTTGATGTTCAGGTCAAATGGCAGGGAAGGAGATTCCACCTGAACATGTAGACCAGGGGTCCTCAAACTACGGCCTGAGGGCCGGATACAGCCCTCCAGGGTCATTTACCCGGCCCTCGCTCAAGGCCAACCTAAGTCTGAAATGACTTGAAAGCACACAACAACAACAACAACAATGCTGTCTCATCAGGCAAAAGCAGGCCCACACTTTCCATTGAAATACTAACAAGTTTATATCTGCTAAAATTGTTCTTCATTTTAATTATTGTATTGTTTTAAGTGGTTTTGCATCACAAATAAGATAAATCTGTGCAGTGTGCATAGGAATTAATTCATATTTTTTTCCAAATTATGAAGGATGTGTTTTAATTGTTACAAATTCAACATAATTAAAGCGTCATGATTAATCAGAAAAAAATATGGATTTGCAGTACCTTCGACCGATTCAGCGCTGACTTCCACAGACCACTGAGACCTCCACACAGAACTCCCGGATGGCGAGAACGCGAGGCAGTCTTTGCGTGAGGCCAGGCCTCATGTGGAGCACCCCTACCCTACCCCGCGACCTTGCCGATGGCGAGAACGTGAGGCAGGCGAGGCGGGCTTTGCGCGAGGCCAGGCCGCGTGTGGAAGACCCCTCGCCTACCCTGCGTTCTCGATAATGGCGAGAACTCGAGGCAGCCTTTGCGTGAGGCCAGGCCTCGTGTGGAGGACCCCTCCCCTGCCCCGCAACCTTGCCGATGGCGAGAACGCGAGGCAGGCGAGGCAGCCCTTGCGCGGAGCACCCCATGCCCTCGCCGATGGCAAGAACATGAGACAGGTGAGGCGGCCTTTGCGCGAGGCCAGGCCTCGAGCGAAGGAGTCCCCGCCTGGTCCGCGCCCTTGGGGCAGGGCCAATGGAAGCAACCTCGCGACCCCTCCGAAATGCCCAGGCGACCCCCCTGGGGGTTGCGACCCCCAGGTTGAGAACCGCTGACCTAGAGGACTGAAGTTGGCCCAGACCTGCCTTAGAGACCTATACCCACTGCCTCCTTCTTCTCTAGGATTACGGCCTTGCCCTCTGGAGTCCTGCAAATCTACGGCGTCCGGCAACAGGATGCGGGGAGCTACCGCTGTGTGGCCACGGCCCCCGCCAACCGCAGGAAGAGCGCCGAGGCCACGCTCATTGTCCTCCCAGGTACTGTGAAAGGCCCAACCCCTCCCATGCATGCCACTTTGCGTGTGTCTCCGAGTGGCCGTCTCACCCGTGGCTTGCCCCTTTCCTCCCTCCCTCCCTCCTTCCCTTCCTTCCTTCCTTCCTTCCGAAGCCTCCAACACCAAGCTCCTCCACAAGCCTTCCATCATCGCCGGTCCAGAGAACGTAACGGCAGCTCTCCACCAGACAGTCATCTTTGAGTGTGTGGCCACCGGGAACCCAAAGCCCATCATTTCCTGGAGCCGCTTGGGTGAGTCCCCCAAAGAAACAGATGATGATGATGATGATGATGATGATGATTGTGTTACTGTGAGTTTTCCGGGCTGTTTGGCCATTCTCGCCTGATGTTTTGCCTGCATCTGTGGCTGATGGCATCTTCAGAGGTTGGTTTGGAAATGAGTCAAATGGAGTGTGTATATATCTGTGGAATAATGTCCTGGGTGGGAGAAAGAACCCTTGTCCATTTGAAGCAAGATAGATACTATCTATCTACAGTATCTATCTACCTACCTACCTACCTATCTAGAAAGATAGATACTGTAGATAGACAGATACTGTAGATAGATAGATACCATAGGTAGGTAGGTAGGTAGGTAGGTAGGTAGGTAGATAGATAGATACCGTAGATAGGTAGATAGATAGATAGATAGATAGATAGATAGATAGATAGATAGATACCGTAGATAGGTAGGTAGGTAGGTAGATAGATACCGTAGATAGGTAGATAGATAGATAGATAGATAGATAGATAGATAGATAGATAGATACTGTAGATGGGTAGGTAGGTAGGTAGGTAGGTAGATAGATAGATACCATAGATAGGTAGATAGATAGATAGATAGATAGATAGATACCGTAGATAGATAGATAGATACCATAGATAGATAGATAGATGCTGTAGATAGGTAGGTAGGTAGGTAGATAGATAGATACCGTAGATAGATAGATACCGTAGATGGGTAGGTAGGTAGGTAGGTAGATAGATAGATACCATAGATAGGTAGATAGATAGATAGATAGATAGATAGATAGATGCTGTAGATAGGTAGGTAGGTAGGTAGGTAGGTAGGTAGGTAGGTAGATAGATAGATAGATACCGTAGATGGGTAGGTAGGTAGGTAGGTAGGTAGATAGATACCATAGATAGGTAGATAGATAGATAGATAGATAGATAGATAGATAGATAGATAACGTAGGTAGGTAGGTAGGTAGGTAGATACCGTAGATAGATAGATAGATAGATAGATAGATAGATAGATAGATAGATGGATGGATACTGTAGGTAGGTAGATAGATAGGAAGATAGATAGACAGACAGATAGATAGATACTGTAGATAGGTAGATAGATAGATACTGTAGATAGGTAGGTAGGTAGGTAGGTAGATACCGTAGATAGGTAGATAGATAGATACCGTAGATAGGTAGATAGATAGATAGATAGATAGATAGATAGATACCATAGATAGGTAGATAGATAGATAGATAGATAGATAGATAGATACTGTAGGTAGGTAGGTAGATAGATAGATAGATGGATACTGTAGGTAGGTAGGTAGGTAGGTAGATACCGTAGATAGGTAGGTAGGTAAGTAGATAGATAGATAGATAGATAGATAGATAGATAGATACCGTAGATAGGTAGGTAGGTAGATGGATGAATGGATACTGTAGATAGGTAGGTAGGTAGGTAGATACCGTAGATAGGTAGATAGATAGGTAGGTAGGTAGGTAGATACCGTAGATAGGTAGATAGATAGATAGTTTGATTCAGATCCATATTCATGAGAGTCACAAGGCTCTCTAGAAGTAGGAGCTGTCTTAGAAAATACATCCTTAGGTAGATAGATTATTTGTACCCTATACTCACTCTCTCTGAAAAAGAGGCTGAGAGCATGTTCCCTCTCCGCAGACCACAAGCCCATCGACGTCTTCAACACACGTGTCCTGGGGAATGGGAACCTCATGATCTCCGATGTGAAGGCGCCCCACGCCGGGATCTACATCTGCCGCGCCACCACACCCGGCACACGCAACTTCACCACCGCCGCCGCCGCCCTGACCGTCCTGGGTGAGGCCCCTCTCGGTCCCAAACCCATATTGTGCTAGAGCTTCTTAAACTGTGGGTTCTGGCCCCAAACGGGACCCAGAACCCACTCCCTTCCCTCAGTGTTGGGATCCCGGAACATTTAGCCTCAGTAAAGGTTTCCGAATGCCACCTAGTGGCTGTTGTAGGCATTGATGTGAACCTGTTGTGTTGACAGTGGATTCTGCACAAGAAGGAAACAGCCTTTTTAGCAAGTCTTGCAAATGCTTGTTTGCTAACAGTTAATGCTTGATTTGTATACCTAATTTATATATCTCTATCTCACATAATAGTCGCACCTATCTAAATTTCTTGGACCTATAGGGAACCCAAGTGGAAGGTTTTTTTTTTGCAGAAACCTATGCATCTAGAGCAGACATGGTCCAGCATTGGCCATCCAGATGTTTTGGACTTCAACTCCTACAATTCCTAACAGCCGGTAGGAAGTTGAAGCCCAAAACACCTGGAGGGACCAGTCTTGCCACCCAAAAAATGGAGGTGCGACTATTATGTGATGAAACACAGTTAACCTGTCAGTTAACTTGTTTCGTGATCGGCTGTTAGGAATGGTGGGAGTTGAAGCCCAAAACACCTGGAGGGAGGGACGAAGTTGGCCCAGGCCTGGTCTAGAGTAAGGCTGTCCAGTCTATCCCTCTTCTTCCATCCACTATCCAAGCCCAATGCAAGCAGCCAGGAGGGTGCCCAGTGTTTAAAGGGGGCAAGCTGACCCTTTGTTCCTTTCTCGTCCTTCCTGCACAGCACCACCTTCGTTTGTGGAGTGGCCAGAGAGCTTGACCAGACCGCGTGCTGGCACCGCCCGCTTCGGCTGCCAGGCGGAAGGCATCCCGGCCCCGAAGGTCTCCTGGCTAAAGAACGGGCGCAAGGTCCACTCCAACGGCCGGATCAAGATGTACAACAGGTGAGGAGGGGGAGTGTCCTAGTGGAGGATAGTGCCTCGACCCCCTTGTGCCAAGTCTCTCCATCTGTTGTAGCCTAGTCAGATTCCGAGTGCTCAGAAGATGTGGAAGGGAATGCTGGGATAGAGTTGTTTTGGAATCTCCTGGAAGTTTCCACGAGGCTGGAGAAAGCGGTATCAGTTCCCATGAGAACTTGCCAGAAGTGCTGGGTGACAGAAATGTGGGAGACGAATGTCTAGATCAAGATGATTGGAATTGCGGAGACAGAGCATGTAACAAAGACAGATTGCTTTTCCCAGAGGCTTAGAGATAAGGAGAGGAAAAGCAGGTGTTTGCGAAATGATGTTATGGGAGGGATTGAGGCCTCTTAAAGTGGTTCCTGTTGGTACAATCTTTAGTGAAAGTAATGGTGTAGTCAGGTGAACATCTCTTGGTTTTTGGAACTCATGTATCCAAGTGTCTAAGTCTGTTCTTGCTTCTAGTTCATGTGTGGCATAGGTTTCCTGCCTTGGATTCATGCTATATTGTTTATGGATATATTTGTGGATTGACTCTGGAGATTGTATTTCAGTGGTTCTCAACCTGGGGGTCGCGACCCCTCGGGGGGTCGTTCGGCCATTTTCTGGGGGTCGCGAAGCCGCATTGGCTCCAAAATGGCGGCCGACCCCCTGAGCCACTGGCACTCCTGCGCGCGAAGCCATCCGCCTGTCCCTCATCTCCTTCTGATGGCAGAAGGAGGCAAGGGATGGGTGAGCGTCACATTGAGGCATATTGAGTATCTGTGCCAAGTTTGGTCCAGATCCATCATTGTTTGAGTCTGCAATGCTCTCTGGATGCAGGTGAATTACAACTCCCAAACTCAAGGTCAGTGCTCAGCAAACCCTTCCAGTATTTTTCGTTGGTTGTGGGAGTTCTGTGTGCCAAGTTTGGTCCAATTCCATCATTGGTGGAGTTCAAAATGCTCTTTAATTGTAGGTGAACTATAAATCCCAGCAACTACAACTCCCAAATGACATAATCAATTTTCCCTCCAACCCCACCAGTATTCAAATTTGGGCATATTGTGTAACGTAAGGTAAAAGTTTTCCCCTGACATTAAGTCCAGTCGTGTCCAACTCTGCGAGTTGGTGCTCAATTTCTAGGCCAAAGAGCCGGTGTTGTCCATAGACACCTCCAAGGTCATGTGGCTGACATGACGGCATGGAGCGCTGTTGTTGGGTATTTGTGCCAAATTTGGTCCAGTGAATGAAAATGCATCCTGCATTTCAGATATTTACATTATGATTCATAACAGTAACACAATTACAATTAGGAAGTAGCAATAATAATAATTTTATGGTTGGGGGCCACCACAACGTGAGGCGCTGTATTAAGTAGGCTTGGTTGATCAAGAAAAAATTTGGTTCTAAACTCGTTTCGTTTCTAGGGTGCGCTAGCGTTTCGAAATTCTGAGGACTTCCGAAATTTAAGATTTCAAAATTTCGAAATTTCTGAAATTTCGTAAATTACGAATCGATTCGTTAATGGCGGACGCGATTGCCACAATATGCTAAAAAAAACCTCCAAATGGGACGGGGGGAACTTCTGAAGCTTCCCTCTCCCTCTGTTGTTGACTGTTGGTGTGATAAAACAAACAACAACTATATTATATTATATTATATTATATTATATTATATTATATTATATTATATTATATATTATATTATATTGTTGTATATTAAATTATAATATTATTATATTATATTATTGTATATTATATTATATTATATTATATATTATATTATTATTATTATATTATATTATATATTATTATAATAATATAATATATATAATATAATATAATAATTTATTATATTATATATATTATATTATATTATATTATTATTATATTATATTATATTATAATATATTATATTATAATATATTATATTATATTATAATATATATAATAATTTATTATATTATATTATTATAATAATATATAATATAATATAATAATAATAATATAATATATAATATAATATAATAATAATATAGTAATATAATATATAATATAGTAATATAATATAATATAATATACAATATAATGCACCAGACATACGAAAATAATTACAAAATAATTACGAAATAATTACGAAAATTGGAAAAAATCGGTTCGATTCTTAATTACTCCTCACACTATTCCTGCATGGCTCGATATTGGATCGTAAGCTAATTTAAATACGAATCAATAACGAATAACGAAATTAACGAACTGGATCGCCCAAGCCTAGTATTAAGGGGTCGCGGCATTACGAAGGTTGAGAACCACTGTTGTATTTGAAATGATTTTGGAAATAACTTTTTAATTTTGATTCTCTTTTTTGAATTTGCTGATTTTTATTTATACTCTTCCTGAAATAAACTGGGCAGAGAGCGGTTTGTGGTGAAAAGGTGTTTCAGGGCTCGAGTGCAACACCATCACCGCTTCTTCTCTCTCTCTCTCTGCCCAGCAAACTGGTGATCAACCAGATCATCCCGGAGGACGACGCCATCTACCAGTGTCTGGCCGAGAACAGCCAGGGCTCTGTCCTTGCTCGGGCCAGGCTGACCGTGGTCCTGTCCGAAGACCGGCCCAGCGCCCCCTGCAACGTCCATGCTGAGACCGTCTCCAGCTCCGCCATCTTGCTGGCCTGGGAGCGGCCACAGTACAACGCGGACAAGGTCATCGCCTACTCCGTCCACTACATGAAGGCCGAAGGTGAGCACCCGGCACAGCCCACCAGCAGGACATTCAGTATCATAATAGTAATAATAACTAGCTGTACCCTGCCACGCGTTGCTGTGGCCTATAGTAAATCTTTTCAAAGTAGAGGTAGATATCTGGAGTATTATGAAAGAGAGGTACCTACCTATTCCTTCCCCCTTTTTCTCCCCCTTTCTCTCCTTTCTTCCTTCTCTACCTCTTTCTTTCTTTCCTTCTTTCGCTCCCTGGTTTCCTTCTTCTCGCTTTCCTTCATTCCCTCCCCCTTTCTTCCTTTGCCTCCTTTCTTCCCTCCATGTTTCCTTCCTTCTTTCATTTTTCATTTCCTTTTCTCCTTCCTTCTTTACCTCTTTCCTGCCTTTCCTTCCTTTTATTTTTCTTTCCTTTCTACTTTCTCTTCTTCCTTCCTTCGGTACCTCTTTCTTTCCTGCCTTCCCTCCTTCCTTTCTTCCTTCCCATTGCTTACCAAACCCTTCTCATGGGAGTCCTGTGTGCCACGTTTGGTTTAATTCCGTCGGTGGAGTTCAGAATGCTTTGATTATAGGTAAACTATAAATCCCAGCAGCTTCAACAGAGGGGGGTGGGAGGAGGAGAAGGAGGAGTGCATGGGCGGGGCGTCGGTGGGTGTGGGCGGGGCTTCGGCAGAGGGGGGTGGGAGGAGGAGGAGGAGTGCAGGGGCGGGGGGTGGTGGGTGTGGGCGGGGCTTCGGCAGAGGGGGGTGGGAGGAGGAGGAGGTGCAGGGTGGGTTGGTGGGTGTGGGCGGGGCTTCGGCGGAGGGGGTGGAGGAGGAGGAGGAGTGCATGGGCGGGGTTGGTGGGTGTGGGCGGGGCTTCGGCGGAGGGGGGTGGGAGGAGGAGGAGGAGTGCAGGCAGGGGGTTGGTGGGTGTGGGCGGGGCTTCGGCGGAGGGGGGTGGGAGGAGGGAGGAGGGAGGGTGGGGCGTCGGTGGGTGTGGGCGGGGCTTTGGCGGAGGGGGGTGGGAGGAGGAGGAGGAGTGCAGGGGGGGCATCGGTGGGTTGGGCGGGGCTTTGGCGGAGGGGGGAGGGAGGTGCGGAGGGTGCGTTGGCCGTTTGGCCATGTGCGCGCGCCGGGGACTTTGCGCCATTGCGCATGCTCAGTTGTTTTGTCGTTTTGTGAGTGTGTTGTTGTGTTGTTTTTTATTTTGATTCGATTTGTTTGTACCTTGTGGGTTGTGGTAGGTGCATGGGAATTTTGGTTAATTTTCGTTGGGGGGGGTTGAGTTTTGCTGTCCCGTTGGATGCCCCTTACAGATTTATAGATATAGATAGTAATAAATAAATAAATATAAGGTATCTCCATACAAAGACTCAAAGCGGCTCACAATCAAAAACATTACAACTTAAAATATACAGATATACAATAATAAAACTTGTATAAACTTGAGATTAACTTCACAATTCAGCAGCAGATCAGTTGCACAACTTCAGCGCTTTCCAGTAGCTTCTTCCTGCACAGTATTTTCAGTCAACTGCTCCCACAGCCTGCAGCCACGCTGGAACTCTTTTACAGGCACTTGAGCACATGCCCGGCCATTGTCAGTTTTACCATTGTCTTTTCCCCAGTCTAGATGATATTACAAACTCACCACAGCATACAGTTATATCTTGTCTTAGCAGAATCTTTTATTCAATTACATATAGCCTTCGACGAACAACATCACAGCACAAGGAGAGAGAATACACTGTACATGACTTCCTTATATACAATTCTATACAATTACACATAGCAATCTCTGATTGGTTCCCAACTCATTGACTTAACTCAGGATTGCATCATTCACAATCACACTGTACATGACTTCCTTATATACAATTCTATACAATTACACATAGCAATCCCTGGTTGGCTCCCAACCCATTAACTTAACTCAGACCCAGGATTACATCATTCACAATCACCTGGACTAGGCCAGAACACATTCCCCAAATGATTCCCTATATACAGTTAATGCACGACTCAGCATTTCCAATAGCCTATTAGCAGTGCATGACTCAGCTATATTACAATACATTGTAAAACCTGACAAGATCACTCGCATGGAACAGAGGATCCAACAACTCATCATTCACAATCACCTGGACTAGGCCAGAACACATTCCCCAAATGATTCCCTATATACAGGTAATACATGACTCAGCATTTCCAATAGAAGCCTATTAGCAGTGCATGACTCAGCTATATTACATTACAATACATTGTAAAACCTGACAGTATATTATATATTATCAGTAGTACTAATTATATTTAATATATTAGTATTACTATATTATTACATTGCACTATTCTTAGTATTGTATTTGGAGTCCCTGGTGGCACAATGGGTTAAAACCTTGTACTGGCAGGAAAGCTGACCAAAAGTTCACATTCGGGGAGTGGGTGAGCTCCTGTTTGGCAGCTCCAGCTTTCCATTCGGAGACATGAGAGAAGCTTCCCACAGGAAGTTAACACATCTGGGCGTCTCCAGGGCAAAAACCTCGCAGACAGCCAATTCTCTCACACCAGAATCAGCTTGCAGTTTCTAAAGTCGATCCTGACACGAAGAAAAGTATTGTATTACATCATAATATTATTATTAATATTATATGTATACACAATGTATTATTAGCATAGCACAATATTAGTATTCTATCTTATTCTATTGTACTATACTACTATACTGCAATATTATTAGTAATATTACATATAATATATAATATACAATTATTATATTAAAATTACAACAGCACAACAACAGAGAGGAAACAAACAACGACATCTAATCACCTCTCAACAAAAGTTTGCTCTAGGCACTGTCATGCCATTATATGCTAATCGAGGTGGTCAGTTGAAACATTCACCCCTAGCTCCAGCAGACAAGAGTCCTTTGTCCCACCCTGGTCATCATTCCACAGATATATAAACCCATTTTCCTAGTTCCAACAGACCTCACTACCTCTGAGGATGCTTGCCATAGATGCAGGCGAAACGTCAGGAGAGAATGCCTCTAGACCATGGCCATATAGCCTGAAAAAAACCTACAACAACCCAATTATTATATTAGTGTATATTATATTGTAGTATATTATTATACCACAATATATATAATACACTACCAGTATATATAGTATCATATAATATATTGTACTGTAGTATATATTAGGCCTGGGCAATGCATGGTTCTAAAGTACTTAAAAAACTAAAGTTCTGGTGGTGAAAAATTCAAAACTCTAACAAAAGTCTCAAAATTTCATTTTAAATGGCAGTTCCTCATTGGTTCTGTCATAAAAAAAAGCGAATAATGAAATAATAATTAAATTTTGAAAGTTTTGTTAGAGTTCTGAAATTTTCACCACCAGAAATTTAGTTTTGTAAGTACTTTAGAATCATTTAGAACCATGGATTGACCAGGCCTAATATATATATTACGAGTGTCTCTGTAGATCTTAGAAAACTAATTCTAGATTTAAGTCGTTGACGTACTGGCTGATACCCAAACAGGGGATGAGCTGGAGATGTCTCTGCCTTGGTCCTTTCACTATTGGCTGCTACTTCCCGGCGGATGTCAGGTGGTGCAATACCGGCTAAGCAGTGTAATTTCTCCAGTGGTGTAGGGCGCAGACACCCCGTGATAATGCGGCATGTCTCATTCAGAGCCACATCCACTGTTTGAGCGTGGTGAGATGTGTTCCACACTGGGCATGCGTACTCAGCAGCAGAGTAGCAGAGCGCAAGGGCAGATGTCTTCACTGTGTCTGCTTGTGATCCCCAGGTTGTGCCAGTCAGCTTTCCTATGATATTGTTTCTAGCACCCACTTTTTGCTTGATGTTCAGGCAGTGCTTCTTGTAGGTCAGAGCACAGTCCAGAGTGACTCCTCCCAGGTATTTGGGTGTGCTGCAATGCTCCAGTGGGATTCCTTCCCAGGTAGTAATCCTCAGAGCTCGGGATGCTTGTCTGTTCTTAAGATGAAAGGCACATGTCTGTGTTTTAGATGGATTAGGGATCAGCTGGTTTCCCTGTAATAGGCAGTAAGAGCACCTAGAGCTTCGGAGAGCTTCTGTTCAACCACCTCAAAGCTCCCTGCTTGAGCGGTGATGGCACGATCATCAGCATAGATGAAGCTCTCTGTCCCTTCTGGCAGTGGCTGGTCATTTGTGTAGATGTTGACCATGGATGGAGCAAGCACGCTCCCCTGAGGCAGGCCGTTCTTCTGTTTCCGCCATCTGCTTCTCTGGCCCTGGAACTCAACAAAAAAGCTCCTGTTTTGTAGCAGGTTTCCTATGAGGCGGGTGAGGTGGTCGTCCTTTGTGATATTATATATATGATATATGATTAGGGATCAGCTGGCTTTCCCTGTAAGAGGCAGTAAGAGCACCTAGAGCTTTGGAGAGCTTCTGTTCAACCATCTCAAAGCTCCCTGCTTGAACGGTGATGGCACGATCATCAGCATAGATGAATCTCTCTGTCCCTTCTGGCAGTGGCTGGTCATTTGTGTTGATGTTGAACATGGATGGAGCAAGCACGCTCCCCTGAGGCAGGCCCTTCTTCTGTTTCCACCATAGTCTTCTCTGGCCCTGCAACTCAACAAAAAAGCTCCTGTTTTGTAGCAGGAGATGTTTTGGCTGATGAGATAAGATTATTGTTGTTGTTGTGTGCTTTCAAGTCATTTCAGACTTAGGTTGACACTGAGTGAGGGCCGGGTAAATGACCTTAGAGGGCCGTATCCGGCCCGCGGGCCGTAGTTAGAGGACCCCTGGTAGAGACTATATTCTTGCCCCTGGGAAAGAGCTTGGGGGGGGGAGGGCTTCTGACTTCCTGTGGCCTCCTTTCTCCCTCCCCAAACAAGAGGGGCCTCTTCTCTTTTCCCCAAGACCTCCTTCCATTCATTGCAAAGAAAGGCTGCCTTTCCAAAACACACTCCACCATCAGATGATAGAATCATAGAATAATAGAATCCAAGAGTTGGAAGAGACCTCATGGGCCATCCAGTCCAACCCCATTCTGCCAAGAAGCAGGAATATTGCATTCAAATCACCCCTGACAGATGGCCATCCAGCCTCTGTTTCAAAGCTTCCAAAGAAGGAGCCTCCACCACACTCCGGGGCAGAGAGTTCCACTGCTGAACGGCTCTCCCAGTCAGGAAGTTCTTCCTAATGTTCAGATAGAATCTCCTCTCTTGTAGTTTGAAGCCATTGTTCCTTGTCCTAATCGTTTTATGCTTTAGCCTTGTGGACCTTTTCCCTATAGGTGTTGGCTATTTGTTTGAATTCTTCTTTGGTGATTTCTCCCTTTTTCCACTTCTTGTGCACGTCCTCCTCTTCCTCTTCCTCCTCCTGCATCCTAGTCTCCAGGGAAGCAGAAAACAAGCTTGCTCCTTCCTCCCTGTGGCTTCCTCTCACATATGTATACATGGCTATCATATCCCCTCTCAGCCTTCTCTTCTTCAGGCTAAACATGCCCAGCTCCTTAAGCCGCTCCTCATAGGGCTTGTTCTCCAGACCCTGATGTTATTTCTCAGGCAAAGGGTTCGGCAAAGAATGAAAACGGGGCAAAGAAGCCGCTGTCTGTCTGTCGGTAAGGGTATGTTTCTGGAGCCTGTTCTGCATCCAATTTGGGGCAAAGGGAAGAAAGGCAGCCTTGACGAGGCAGCAAGTGTTAATTCCTCGTTAGTGCGATTAAGGGAAGGCACAAAGGCCTCTCCGGCCGGCCATTCAGCAGAGGAGCCCTTCTATTCGGGGCCGAGGGACCCCTGCCGAGAAGCGGGCCAGAAATCGTCCCACGCTGCCCCTAATTAACTGGCCGCTAATTGGGAATGTGGCGCGGGTACCCATAATCCTCCCTAATTAAAACGGGCCGAGTCGACGGTGGGAAAAACCCTCGCCAGGTGAGACTTAGAATCCTAGAATCCTAGAGTTGGAAGAGACCTCCAGGGCCATCCAGTCCAACCCCATTCTGCCAAGAAGCAGGAATATTGCATTCAAATCACCCCTGACAGATGGCCATCCAGCCTCTGCTTCAAAGCCTCCAAAGAAGGAGCCTCCACCATACTCCGGGGCAGAGAGTTCCACTGCTGAACGACTCTCACAGTCAGGAAGTGTTTCTTCATGTTCAGATGGAATCTCCTTTCTTGCAGTTTGAAGCCATTGTTCCATTGCGTCCTCGTCTCCAAGGAAGCAGAAAGCAAGCTTGCTCCCTCCTCCTCCCTGTGGCTTCCTCTCACGTATTTATCCATGGCTATCATGTCTCCTCTCAACCTTCTCTTCTTCAGGCTAAACATGCCCAGCTCCTTAAGCCGCTCCTCATAGGGCTTGTTCTCCAGACCCTTGATCTGCTCCCTCCTCCTCCCTGTGGCTTCCTCTCACATATTTATCCATGGCTATCATGTCTCCTCTCAGCCTTCTCTTCTTCAGGCTAAACATGCCCAGCTCCTTAAGCTGCTCCTCATAGGGCTTGTTCTCCAGACCCTTGATCTTCAAGAGAAGAATGTGGTGTTGTGTGGTTTGGCTCTGAAGACTGCCCGGAAGCTACAACTAGTCCAACGAGCGGCAGCCACACTACTAACGGGAGCTGGGTCCAGGGAGCACACCACTCCGCTGTTACACCAGCTCCACTGGCTGCCAATTAGTTTCCGAGCACAATTCAAAGTGCTGGTGTTGACCTATAAATCCCTAAACGACTCTGGCCCAGTTTATCTGTCCGAACGGATTCTCCCGTACGAACCATCAAGGTTGTTACGATCTTCTGGAGGGGACCTGCTCTTGGTCCCACCACCTTCGCAATCGCGTCTGGTGGGGACGAGGAACAGGGCCTTCTCGGTGGTGGCCCCTCGGCTATGGAACTCTCTCCTGTTGGAGATTAGATCCGCCCCTTCCCTTCTGACTTTTCGAAAGCTGGTAAAATCTTGGCTCTGGAACATAGCATTCTCAGAATGATGTTCGAATCAATAACGGTTGACCACAAGGCGGATGGTGATGAATTTGTGATTGTATCTTGACGATTTGGCTTTATGTAATTATTTGATCTGTATTTTAAGGTATTTAATTGTATTAATGTATTATGGCGTATTCCATCTCTCCTGACGTTTGGCCTGCATGTGTGGCTAATGGCATCTTCAGGTGCCGTTAGTGATTCTGCATTTTCCAATTGTCACACGCCAGGGATTTTTCCAAATCTTGACCAAGCCCCAGTCCACTCTCTCTTTCCTCCTCCTGCTCCAGGCCTGAACAACGAGGAATACCAGGTGGTGATTGGGAACGACACCACGCACTTCCTCCTGGACGACCTGGAGCCGGCCAGCAACTACTCCTTCTACATCGTGGCCTACATGCCTCTCGGGGCCAGCCAGATGTCCGACCACGTCACCCAGCGCACCCTCGAGGACGGTAAGCGGCCATGCCACGCCTGGCCAGGGACTGTTAGCGTTTCGCGTGGAAGGTTTGCACAGGCTTGGTAGAAGTCATGGACTCTGGAGACTTCTGGTTACAAAGCAGGTTCAATTTACTTAGAGCAGTTAGAACAACATCACAGCACAAGGAGAGAGAATACACTGTACATGACTTCCTTATATACAATTCTATACAATTACACATCCATTCCAGTAAGCGACAAAACATGAAGTACGCAGTAGGCAGAACAAAGGAAGTAGAAGTCTAAACAATCCTGCAGCGGCTTGGCTGCTTGGCAGATATCAGAGACTCCCTAATTTCCCTCACAACTCAGCTCAGAGAGTCTCTCAGGGCTACTATCTCACAGCCTCAAACATAAACATACATCACAGCAATACAATCTTATGGCATCCATATTACAACTACATGAAATTACATTTAAAACACATTACATACTTTAACATATTCTGACAGGGATGTGGTATATCTCAGGAGAAAGGGGTTGGAGAGGCTCTTCCCCAATTGGAGGTTCCCAAGTGTATATATATTCTTTATTTCCATTTCCTTCAATTCTCGGATCATTATATAATTTATTTAATTTGTTTACAGCATTTCTATTCCGCCCTTCTCCTCACCCCGCAGGGGACTCAGGGCGGATTACAGTGTGCACAAATATGGCAAACATTCAATGCCAATTTTTTGACATACAAACATATACAGACATACGCAGAGGCTATTTAACTTTTTCTGGCCACCGGGGGAGCTGTCGCATTCATTGTACCTCTGCAACGCTGATGAAGCACTTCCGCATTCCCCGCATGCTTCCCCACTGGAATGCTTTTGCTGGAGTCTTCTTTATGGCCTCATAAATGCCAATTTTGACGTACAAACATATACAGACATACACAGAGTCTATTTAACTTTTTCTGGCCGCCAAGGGAGCTGTTGCCTTCCTCATCCATCTGCGATGCTGATGAAGCACTTCCGCATTCCCCGCATGCTTCCCCGCTGGAATGCTTTTGCTGGAGTCTTCTTTATGGCCTCATAAATGCCAATTTTGACATACAAACATATACAGACATACACAGAGGCTATTTAACTTTTTTCTGGCCGCCAGGGGAGCTGTCGCTTTCCTCGTCCATCTGCAACGCTGATGAAGCACTTCCGCATTCCCCGCATACTTCCCTGCTGGAATGCTTTTGCTGGAGTCTTCTTTATGGCCTCATAAATGCCAATTTCGATGTACAAACATATACAGACATACGCAGAGGCTATTTAACTTTTTCTGGCCACCGGGGGAGCTGTCGCTTTCATTGTCCATCTGCGACGCTGATGAAGCACTTCCGCATTCCCCGCATGCTTCCCCACTGGAATGCTTTTGCTGGAGTCTTCTTTATGGCCTCATAAATTAGTTAATTTAGCTATATATAATTTTTAATCTATATGTGGGGGGTTTTTTATGCCTGTTGGAGTAGTATGTAGGATTAGCTTTTTTATTATCTATCTCAAATGCATCTTTTAGTTCCCAATTTCCTAGTTTATGTTGACTAAGATCTAAATTGAAATCCCGTGAAAACTTCATAGAAGTTTTGAAGTTTTTCTCAGGATTTTTCTCAGAAATCGTTGTTGACCTTTATTGGGAGAGTATATATTAGCAATAGTAAAAAAAATTGTTGCCCAATTTAAATTTCCTTCTCTCCTTCCTCTTCCTTCCCTTTCATCTTCATCTTTCTCTCCCATTCCTCTTTCTTCCTCTTCCTCTTTTTCTCGTTCCCCTTCCCTTTCCCCTCTCTACTTCTCTTTTCCTTCCTCTTCCTCTCCTTACCCTCTCCTTCCTCTTCCTTCCCTTTCATCATCTTTCTCTCCCATTCCTCTTCGTCTTTTTCTCTTTCCCCTTCCTCTTCCCCTTCCCCTTTCCCTCTCATTCCCCTTTCTCTTCCTCTTCTTCACCTTCCCTTTCCCCTCTCTATTTCTCTCCTCCTTCCTCTTCCTCTCCTTACCCACTCCTTCCTCTTCCTTCCCTTTCATCTTTCTCTCCCATTCCCCTTCCTTCCTCTTCCTCTTTTTCTCGTTCCCTTTCCTCTTCCTCCCCTTCCCCTTCCCTTTCCCCTCTCTACTTCTTTTCCTTCCTCATCCTCTCCTTACCCTCTCCTTCCTCTTCCTTCCCTTTCATCTTCATCTTTCTCTCCCATTCCCCTTCCTTCCTCTTCCTCTTTTTCTCGTTCCCTTTCCTCTTCCTCCCCTTCCCCTTCCCTTTCCCCTCTCTACTTCTTTTCCTTCCTCATCCTCTCCTTACCCTCTCCTTCCTCTTCCTTCCCTTTCATCTTCATCTTTCTCTCCCATTCCTCTTCCTTCCTCTTCCTCTTTTTCTCGTTCCCCTTCCTCTTCCTCCCCTTCCCCTTCCCTTTCCCCTCTCTACTTCTCTCCTCCCTCCTCTTCCTCTCCTTACCCTCTCCTTCCTCTTCCTTCTCTTCCCTTTCATCTTCATCTTTCTCTCTCATTCCTTTTTCTCTTTCTCTTTCCCCTTCCCCTTCCTCACCTTCCCTTTCCCCTCTCTGCTTCTCTCCTACTTCCTCTCCTTGCCCTCTCCTTCCTTTTCCTTCTCTTCCCTTTCGTCTTCATCTTTCCCATTCCTCTTCCTCTTTTTCTCTTTCTCTTCCCCCTTCCCTTTCCCCTCTCTATTTCTCTTCTCCTTCCTCTTCCTCTCCTTACCCTCTCCTTCCTCTTCCTTCCCTTTCATCTTCATCTTTCTCTCCCATTTCTCTTCCTTCCTCTTCCTCTTTTTCTCGTTCCCCTTCCTCTTCCCTTCCCCTTCCCTTTCCCCTCTCTACTTCTCTCCTCCTTCCTCTTCCTCTCCTTACCCTCTCCTTCCTTTTCCTCCTCTTCCCTTTCGTCTTCATCTTTCCCATTCCTCTTCCTCTTTTTCTCTTCCTCTTTCCCCTTTCCCTTCCTCACCTTCCCCTTCCTCTCTCTGCTTCTCTCCTACTTCCTCTTCCTCTCCTTGCCCTCTCCTCTTCCCCTTCCTCTACCTTCCCTCACCTTTCATCTCCCTCTCTCCCCCCTCCTCCTTCCTTTTCCTCTGCTTCTTCCTCTCCTTTCCCTTCCCCTCTCCTTCCTCTTCCCCTTCCTCTTCCCTTGCAGTTCCCTTGAGGGCCCCTGAGCTGAGCCTGACCAGCCGCAGTCCCTGGGACATCCTGGTCTCCTGGGCGCCCCTCCCGGCCAGGTTGCGCCGGGGAGAGGTGGTGTCCTTCCGCCTCTCCTTCCGCCTGGCCCCTTCTTCCTCTTCCTCTTCCTCGGAGGCCGGGGAAGCGCAGACGCTGGAGCTGCCCGGGGGGGCCCAGGAGCACCTGCTGGAGGGCCTGCGCCCGGACACCCTCTACCTGGTGCGCATTGCGGCCGCCACACGTGTGGGCTGGGGAGAGGCCTCCCTCTGGACCTCCCACCGCACGCCCAGGGCCTCCGACCACACAGGTACGTCCACCTGGATTAGCATTTGATGGCCTCTAGCATTCTCTCCTGACGTTTCGCCTCCATCTATGGCAAGCATCCTCAGAGGGAGTGAGGTCTGTTGGAACTAGGAAAGAGGGTTTATATATCTGTGGAATGACCAGGGTGGGACAAAGGACTCTTGTCTGCTGGAGCTAGGGGGGGATGTTTCAACTGGCCACCTTGATTAGCATTTAATGGCCTGGCAGTGCCTGGAGCAATCTTTTGTTGAAAGGTGATTAGATGTCCTTCTTGGAGGTTTCTTTCGGGCTATATGGCCATGTTGTAGAGGCATTCTCTCCTGACATTTCGCCTGCATCTATGGCAAGCATCCTCAGAGGGAGTGAGGTCTGTTGGAACGAGGAAAAGGGGTTTATATATCTGTGGAATGACCAGGGTGGGACAAAGGACTCTTGTCTGCTGGAGCTAGGTGGGAATGTTTCAACTGACCACCTGTATTAGCATTTGATGGCCTGGCAGTGCCTCTAGCATTCTCTCCTGACGTTTCGCCTGCATCTATGGCAAGCATCCTCAGAGGGAGTGAGGTCTGTTGGAACTAGGAAAAGGGTTTATATATCTGTGGAATGACGAGGGTGGGACAAAGGACTCTTGTCTGCTGGCGCTAGGGGTGAATGTTTCAACTGACCACCTTGATTAGCATTTGATGGCCTGGCAGTGCCTGGAGCAATCTTTTGTTGAGAGGTGATTAGATGTCCTTGTTGGAGGTTTTTTCGGGCTATATGGCCATGTTGTAGAGACATTCTCTCCTGACGTTTCGCCTGCATCTATGGCAAGCATCCTCAGAGGTAGTGAGGTCTGTTGGAACGAGGAAAAGGGGTTCATATATCTGTGGAATGACCAGGGTGGGACAAAGGACTCTTGTCTGCTGGAGCTAGGTGGGAATGTTTCAACTGACCACCTTCCCCTTCTGGAAGGACCTGGACTTCAAGGCTCTTCTGCTTCCCTCTGCAGTCCCCAAGTCCCCAGAACTGCTCTTGCAGCCCCTCAACTGCACCACCATCTGGGCCCAGTGGCAGCGAGAGGAAGAGGAAGAGGAAGGCCAGGAGAGCCCCGCCATCCAGGGATACAAGCTCTTCTACAAGGAGGAAGGGCAGCAGGAGAGCGGACCACTCCTCATGGAGGCCTCGCGCCGGGAACACACCATCAGCGGACTGGGTGAGCCCACTACATCCCCCTTGCTTCTCTTCTACACATGCGGGCAATCCCCGAGTTACAAACACCTGACTTGCAAAAGACTCGCAAAAGTTTTGTTAGAGTTCTGAAATTTTCACCACCGGAACTTTAGAAACACTTTAGAAGCAAAGCACCAGCTTTAGAAACACTTCAGAAGCAAATGTGTTTGTGTAAAAGTGTATATTAGGCATGTGCAATCCATGGTTCTAAATGGTTCTAACGTATTTACAAAACTAGAAGGCACTGGTGCTTTGCTTCTAAAGTGTTTCTAAAGTTCTGGTGGTGGAAATTTCAGAACTCTGACAAAACTTTCAAAATTTCGTTATAAATGGCAGTTCCTCATGGGTTCTGTCATAAAAATCGCCATTAACGAAATAATCATGAAATTTTCACCACCGGAACTTTAGAAACACTTTAGAAGCAAAGCACCAGCTTTAGAAACACTTTAGAAGCAAATATTTTTGTGTAAATGTGTATTAGGCATGTGCGATCCATGGTTCTAAATGGTTCTAAAGTATTTACAAAACTAGAGGGCGCTGGTGCTTTGCTTCTAAAGTGTTTCTAAAGTTCTGGTGGTGAAAATTTCAGAACTCTGACAAAACTTTCAAAATTTCGTTATAAATGGCAGTTCCTCATGGGTTCTGTCATACAAATCGCCATTAACGAAATAATCATGAAATTTTGAAAGTTTTGGAAATACTTGTAAATACGATGTGTATGTGCATATATATGTGTACATAGATATATATATGTGTGTGTGTGTGTCTTTCCCTCTCTGTATATATATGGATGTGTTTGTGCATATATATATGTGTGTGTGTGTATGTAGAATGTATATCTGTATATGTGTGTGTGCATATATATATGTGTGTGTGTGTGTATGTATATATGTGTGTGGGTATATATGTGTATGCAAATATATATTGATGTGCATGTGCATATATATATGTGTGTGTGTGTGTGCATATATATGTGTGTGTGTGTGTGTCTGTATGTGTCTTTCCCTCTCTGGATATATATGTATGCGTGTGTGCATATATATATGTATATATGTATGTGTGTGTATATCAATGTGCATGTATATGTGTGTGGGTATATATGTGTCTATGCAAATATATATCTATGTGTATGTGTGTGTGTATATATATATGTGTGTGTATGCGTGCACACATATCTTTCCCTCTCTGTATATATATGGATATGTGTGTGTATATGTATATGTGTATATATGTGTATATATTTGTATGTATATATATATGCATGTGTGCATATATGTCTGTGAGTATATGTGTGTGTATATAATATATGTGTGTGTATGTGTGCACACACACTCACTCACACACATATATGTAAGTACGTATATCTTGAAAAGAAGATAACTTTATGCATTGCTCCTTGTCTTCGCCCTAAGGCGCTCCTTCCTTCCTTCCTTCCTTCCTTCCTTCCTTCCTTCCTTCCTTCCTTCCTTCCTTCCTTCTTTCCTTCCTTTTGGGACTGTGCTCCTTCCCTCGCTCCTTTTGGGAGACAGACCGTCTTCCTGGGTGTTTGCAAGGCCAATAAATTGGGAATTAAGTCCCACAGATGAGGCCCCGATCCCTTCCTTTTCAGCCTTGATGTGGAAAGCAGAGAGAGAGAGAGAGAGAGAGAGAGGGCCCTTTGAAGGCGGCTTTGGGAAGGGAAATTGAATCAGCCGCCTATTCATCACTCCGGACGGACGGACGGACGGAGCCTCTGCCTGTCATTGGCCCCCAGCCTCTCCCCATTGTCTGTCCCCCTTGAATGGGGGGAGGTCTGCAAAGGTCTCTGGACAAGTCACACGGGGAGAAAAGGCAGGAGGGGTTTCTCAGGCGCCATTTGCACATGAAAGAGAGAAAGAAAGAAAGAAAGAAAGAAAGAAAGAAAGAAAGAAAGGGAAGGCCCCGGGTCCAGTTGGGGAGATAGGTGCAGGATATACATAAAAACGACGACGATGATGGTTATTATTATTATTATTAGAGAAAACTTTCCTTAATTCCCCAAGTGGGTAAACTTTGGCCACAAACATTAAGATATCGAACCCAAATTCCCTGACTCTTCCACAGATGGTAAGATTTTTCTTACCAATTATTATTATTATTATTATTATTATTATTATTATTATTATTTAATGTCCACTTTCACCAAAGAGTCTATTATTATTATTATTATTATTATTATTATTATTATTATTATTATTA